GGGGGGGGGGGAGGGGGGGAGGAGAGGTTGCGGAAGGGGACAGTCTGATTTGTTTGGGTGGAGATTTTCAGTTAGCCAGACTTGCCCAAATGAGTTCGATGATTTAGATCAAATTGAATCTTCTAATGTTATATCCCATGAATCTTATTAGTTGGTTTATTTAGCGTAATAAATCATTGAAATTGACAAAAATAAAAAAGGGTTTTTGGGAAGTCGGAACACCTTTCATTATTTATTGGGCTTCAAGTCCAAAGCGAAAACCTTTCTTTGGCAAATGGATATTTTGGAAGAAAAGGATTGAATTATCCTAAAACTAACGTTTATTGTTGCAAAAACCGGAATAGGAAACCGAATTACAAATGCGTATCTCTAGCTGATTCAACGGCACCAGTTATCATGCTCTCTCCAAAAACAGACGATGATTGCACGCTTCAACCAACCATTTGAAATTGGGAAAAAAAGATTCTCATATATTTTGTCTATTCACAAATTTTGAATTTCATTCAAGGATTCGATATCAGCGATTTTAAGAAAAAAAACATTGATTTGAGACGACAACTTAGGGTTTGCTCTTTGCATCAACGGTCGCTGGGATTCTTTTGTCATTATCAATGAGTGACAAAAGGTTAAAAATTCATCTTTCATTAGAATTCGACTGTAATATGAATGATATTATTTTATATAACCCCCCAAATTTATGAGAAAAAAACACTAATATGTAATAAAAATTATAAAATAGGGTTTTTGTTCTATATTTGATTGAATGTATTTAAAATGTATATCTAGGCAGATAAAATTTTAACATTTATTTTTAAGTATCCATGTGGTGTCACTCTATTAAAAAATATATGATAACTTAGAATACGCATTTGGTATAAAATTCAAAATGTCACTCTATGCAACTCAATTGAGTGAAGTTAATAATATTGCTCAACGGGTAATACTACCATTTTTATGATTATTATTCTTTCTGAAGTAGTCTCTTTTATCAGGGGCGGCTCAACGTAAATTAAGGCCTAAAGCAATAATATTAAATGAGGTTTTTTTATTTTTAGTATTATTTTTTTAAAAAAAATATTTTTAATTTTTTTTTAAGTGAGAGAGGAGGATGTGATACTAAATTTTTGTTTTTAAGAGAAAGAGAGAGAGTAAATATGAGTAAATATGAGTTGACTTTTGAATTTTTTTATTTATTTTTAAAATTTTTGATTTTTGAGTTTCTAATATTATGAATTGAATTATAAGTCTAAATTATTGAAATTATAATTTTTTGATTAGACTTAAATTTTTTGGGGCCTTTTTATAAGGCCTAAAATTTTCATTGATTTAAATTTTTTATATGGACTAGTTATCTACTTACAATTATGAGGCCTTCTAAAATTTTGGGGCTTAAAACCCATACTTTTTTTTAATACTATTGGGCCGGCCTGCTTTTTATCTAGACACATTATCTAATCATTATATGAAATAAGTACTAATCACTCTACATTTTTTATTATTATGATTTTTTCTGAATTCATTCTATGTAGTCACACTATTTAGTTATCCTTTAGTCTCCATTTATACCTTGCTTAAGTTTTTAATAGATGTTAAGGGCTGCATCAAATATAGCATCAAGTTTTTAATAGATGTTGCACAAATATAGCATGGGGCATGAATTCTAGTAACTGGCGCATGTGTTGGCTGTAATTTCAGTTTTTGTATTTATAATAGAGAAAATAAAGACAATTTAAACTAGGCTATAGGAATAATTTTTGCATACTTATATTTCATAATTTTCAGAAGAGTTTTTGCATACTTTCTTTAGCAAATAAAGATTTCATCTACTTGTTGGTAAATTTTAATGCACAAGAAGTAATGCAGAAGTCTCAAATCATTCATTTCATATTTTTTATCATCTCACTTTTAAAATCTTTAATTATTTTTTGATCATTCCCAATAAAAACTAAGACACAATGGGAATACCGGTCTTACTTTTGCTTCTTTGAAATCCTTCGCTTCTTTGAAATCATTTGCATTGAAATAGGAATCAAACTCATTATACCAAATTCAGGATGCTTGTTTTAGTCTGTACAAAGTATTTTATAGCTTGTACACTTTTTTTTCTTTGCCATTGACTGCGAAGTCTTGAATTGCTCTATATAAACTTCTTCTTTTAACACACCATTTAAGAACGCTAATTTTACAAAAACCAGTCTTTTTTGTGAAGCAAGAGCAATAAAAAGTCTTGTTGTATTAAGTCAAGCCACCGAAGCAAAAGTTTTTGGAAAATCGATACCAGGTTGTTGTGAATACTCATTTGCTACAAGTCTTGCTTTATTTTTTTGAATTGAATCATTCAAATTAAACTTTGTTTTGCAAATCTATTTCACCCCAATGAATTTTTTATTCTTTGGCTTTTTAACCAACACCAAAGTACTATTTTTCTCTATTACACGAATTGTATCTTCTATTGCTTTCTTCCAAACATCTTCTTTGATTACTTCTTCAAAACTTTCAGGTTCAACCACACAAAAATTACATCTAGCATACACATCACTAATAAGACTTCTTATTTTTCTTGGAGTTGAACTTGAAGATAAAGTGCTTGAACTTGAAGACGTAAAATGAGATGAAAGAGAGTTGGGTATTTGAGATATTTGTGATGGAATCTCAACTTCTTCATTTTTATTTTCATGCTCAGAGCTTCCATAATCTTCATTTGCAACAATAACTTAATTTTGAACATTATTTTCTTTCCAATCCCAATAGTCATCTTCATTAAAGAGAACATCTTTACAAATAATTATTTTGTTTTTCTTCAAATTAAAAAGTCTATAACCCTTTGATTTTGAGCTACCATCCACAAAAAATATATTTTTCATTACTTTCATCAAACTTGTACCTCATTTTTTTAGGAACATGTGTAAAACAAATGTACCAAAAAACCTTTTAAGTGGTTCATTGACGCCTTCCTTTCATACCATGCCTCAATTGGAGTTTGGTTCTCCAAAGCCTTTGTTAGACATCTTTTCATCATGTAAATCGCCGTGTATACCGCTTCAGCCTAAAATGATTTAGGTGACCCTTCTCATAAACTATTGATTTTATCATCTCAACAATGACTCTATTCTTTCTTTCGACCACTATATTTTGTTGTGAAGTGTACCCAACTGTTAATTGTCTTTTCATATCAATGTCTTCACATAACTTATTAAATTTATTAGAGTTATAACTTATACTCATCACCTCTATCCACTTTTCTTTTCAATAAACTTTTAAAATTTCTTGAACACTTGAAAAACTTCAAATTTTTTCCTCATAAAATAAACCTAAGTCATTCTTAAAAAATCATCAACAAAGATTATAAAGTATTTTTTACTTCCATGAGAAAGTGTTCTTTAGGGGTGGCAATTTCTAACACCACATGAAAAATATGACTTGAAATCGATATGAAATTAACGGGTTCTAGTTGGTCATTTCTTGACAAAAATTTGTATATGAGATGACCTGTTAACATGAATAATAAATGGGTTGGGTTAGTGTCAAACGTGGACAACACGAAATTGATACGATTAACATGTTTAAGTAGTATTACAAAAATAAAATACTAATTTTTTATTATATTTTATCAAGAAGTGACATAAATTTATACAAAAAAAAGATATTTTTA